CAGGGGCAGGGGCAGGGAGCAGGAGTCAGGGAGCAGGAGCAGGAGCAGGAGCAGGAGCAGGGGCAGGGGCAGGGGCAGGGGCAGGGGCAGGGGCAGGGGCAGTAGCAGTAGCAGGAGCAGGAGCAGGATCAGGAGCAGGAGCAGGAGCAGGAGACGCGCATGTTAGCAGTACCTGGTGGCAGCTCGCATTGCGAATTTGTTACTCGCCTAGGCGGGTTTGTTTTTGAGGTGAGGGGAAGAGAGCAAGGAGGAGGAGGAGAGTCGAGGGGTCGAGAGCAAGAGAACGAGGGAGGGAGTTAGAGGGAGCTAGACTGAGGATAGATCTTCTAGATGGGCAGATCCTGCACCCTCCTGGTCCTGTCCTTCGTCCTCGCATGCTCGAGCTCGGCATTTTGCTTCTCCCTTGCCACCATGGGCTGCAGACGGAGAACGAACTTCCTTACGGCCACGAGCATGGCAGACAGTGACAAGTTCCGGCATGCTGGTCCTGCCACTCCTCCTCCCTCCTACAAGGACGAGCTCTGGTGGGACCGCACCGCGCTCAGCATGTTTCGGGGAGCCATGGTGAAGAACCTCGGGCAAGACGTCATGGAGCAAGGGTATGATGGTGTGATGCGACTAGCGCTCATGCTAAATCAGAGGTGAGCACGCACAACAATACCTTCCTCCCCCCGCACTGAGGCAGCGCCCTCAGCGCCCTCCCTTACTCCTGCCCCCCTTGCTCATCTCTTGTGCATGCTGCTTGAACAGCAGGTTGTACCATGACATGGTTGCTTGCTTCAGGTATGAACCTCTGGAGACCCGCGCGAGGACGCGATCGATCTTGCGATCTCTTTTCCCTGTCTTCATCATCAAGCTCTTTCCTCTCATGTTCGCCCGGCCGTTCCCAGCATTCTCAGCCAAGCTCAACGCCTACATCACGTCGGTGACCTGCTCCTGGCTCATGGGCCCGATGAAGCTCTTTGATCTCAAGGCTGAGGAGATGGAGGACGACTGGGGGGATGGTGAGGTGATATGTTGCCTCGCGACTGCCATGACGAGATGCAGGAAAGAGTCAGGGGATTCTTGTCGAGAGATGTCGTTTCTTAGAGGAATCGGTTGCTTGATGTCGTGCAGAAGACAAACATGGTGTGTTGAGACTTGTAACAGGGATGTGCGAGTGTTTGTATCAACACGTGCAAAGTGCCTACGCAAGAATTCTTCATCAAAGATATGGGCATTCCGTTGTCAATGGTGACAGATGCAGCGATTGCTGACAAAGATTGACGTGAGAACAGGAGCCCAACTATGACACGTTTGAATGCGAGTTCAAGTTTGGGAAGAGACCTTTGCAGCAAGATACGGATGAGATCTTTGTGAGATGATTCCTCGGTAAAGGTTGTTGTATGACTTTTGCTGCAAGACCACTCCCTGCTTCCAACAGTGTCCCAGCAAAGGAAATCTTCGGCTGAAACATCAAAGTGGGCGATGCAAATGATGAATCTTTGTCAACATGTCTTCCTCTCCTTGGTGTTAGTTGTTGTCTTCTCTCTGCCTGTTGTGGCTGTTTCTTTTTCTGCTTATTATAGATTGACTGAGTGTCTTCTTCGTTTGCAAAGAAGGGGACAGCGTCATGAGCACTCATGATTTCGAACAACTCTGCAACACGATCTTGAAAGATTCTCAGGTGACATGCTGTTTGTTGTTTCATGTTTGCTGCTGATATCTTCGCGTCAAATGTTCATGCTCTATATCCTCAAACATGATTTCTGTTTTTGGGGTCGTTGAAATGCCTGTGCAGTATGACACATCCATTCCTTCAAAGCAAGATTTCATCGACAACCTCTTCCGGAAATGAAACAACCTTTAGCCCTGCGTCAGCCCCAATGCACCTTCGATGTCTTCCAGGATCAAGACGGATTGCAGACTTTCATGGTCATTCACACCTGGATGTTACGCTGCCCGTGAGGATACGAATATTTATTAAACTAGGATAGATTAAATCTTTACAACACTATTGATGAAATCACTTCGATGATGAAAAGCTTGTGTAAGAGTATGAAAGAAAGATAAGAAGATAGAGGAAAGCAGCGATAAAAGAAAACAAGTAAGGCATGTTAGGAAGGAGAAATATTCCCCTTAGTTCAGTAGGTTGGCAACTGACGAGCTCTTGTTCTGGTCGTCCGATCCACCGCTTTGTTGGAGCAGCTTCAGAGTCTCCGCAAGGAGTTCCGCATCCTTGAAAGTTTGATCGTCCACCATGCATGCAGTTTTCGAGCCTGTTCTGCATGCTTTTGACGTTGTTCGGCTTGCGCTCTGCTTGCTCTGAACTGATCTGTAGGGCCATTTCTTGATTCCAAGCTTTCTGCATGCCGACTTCATCGCTGTAGCTGAGATCCCAAGCTTCACGGCTGCCTCATGTAGGGGGAGGTGAAGAACTGTTGTAGAGTCTTCTCGTTGAGCACGACAGGCTTGCTGTTGACCCTCGTGTGCTGGCCAGCCTTGCGGCGGGGGAAGATGGTGTTGAAGACCTTGGGGGCAGTAATCTCATCCCCGCGGGAGGGAGAAGCAGGCTCCGTGGAGGGCCATGAAGGTGACGGGGTGCGGTGCGGCGACTCCTCTGGTGAGACAGGGACTGTTGAGCTTGATGAGGTGGGAGACATCGCCTGTTGGTAACCTCCGTTCCCTCCTCCAGCATTGACGTCAGAGGGGGTTACATCCTTCTCCTCTGTGCACATGGCAAGGCGAAGGAGATTATCGAAGGCCAGGCGCTGAGCGTCCGACATCTGGTCGTCTCCCTTGACTTCCTTCTTGACGTCGGCAGAGTTGTTTTGCTTCAAAATGCTTCGAGTTGCCATTGAGATCGTAACTGAAACAACACAAGCAGTCAGTCATTGTTTCACATAGGAGACCTTGCTCAGTGGCGATGTAAGGCATGCCAGAACTACACGATGCGACCGCTCACCACACTACAGCTATTGGCACCATTCCTTCTACGAAATCCTAATACAAGCAGTTTCAAGTTTGCATATGATACAGACTAGCCGAGAATTCAAATCAAAACACAATCATGGATCTAAAGAATGTCACTTCCCAAAAAGCCGTCAGGTGCTCTATTTCAGACATGCTTTGTGTACCTCCTATCCAGGACATAAAAGGAGAGAAATCAAACTGAAGCAAACACTTCAGATGGTAGTGAAACTTATCATCAGTATCATTCCGATGAACGTGCATGATTCCGGGACAGCAACAATAGCAATCATTGCACAGATCGGCCTGTAAGAGGACGTATGCCCACATGTAAACCAGCTGTAAAAATACAGGCCGGTGACGAAAATCAGCATGCATATCACTCAAATTCGACAAAATCTGGCCATATTATTGATTTGAGCACGAGAGATAATCATTTTGCACTTGGAATTCAATACAACACGCGCACAACCTGTAAATTTACACCCTCTACAGCACATGCGACCGCAGGCATTGCCCGGTTCAGAAAGCACTTTGTTGTGCGAAAGAACTACTCGGACTTCGCATATGGCATCAGAACACTGTGACACAATAGAATCACAGTACAGCATTCAATTTTCGCAGAGCTGCACACACAGGAATCGAGGGGCAAAGTACTTGCAGACAGAATGCGTTGGCATACATATTTGCACAGATGGTCAGCAACATGCAAAAACTAGGTGTCTTGAGCTGAATCTATGAGGTCATCATTGCATCTCGATCATTTCTTTGGCTTGGCGCGTTACTTTCACGCGCATAGTTGCGACTCTATTAATTCGGGCGGAGGGGCATGGCGGGGGGACGCGGGAGAGTCTTGCCAGCAAGTCTCCAAAAGCATAGGGTAGGGGTGGAAAAGTGGAGGGTGTACAGGGTAGAGGTGGGGTACAGTGGTCAATAGGGTAGGTAGTTTGGGGAACAGGGTGTGAGTTACAATCCGGGAAGATACTGATTGGGGGTAGCAATTCAAGTGAGGTGTGTGGGGGGTAGGGTGTTGCAATGTTTCAGCCGAAGGGTGGTCGGGTCTTTGACACATGGGTCTTTGTTTAGATCAGGCGAACAGTACCGGTAATGTGTAGAGGAAAATTCAGCGCACCCGGGGGGTGCAACTGATGTTTTAAAGTTGTAGGGGTACTCCGCAATTTCCTGGGGGGGGGTGGTCTAAATTGGGAGGGTGGACTATTCATTCCCGAAGGCGTGGAAGGAATCGATGTTCTTTCCGGGGTAGGGTAGTTTCTGGATATGGGTAGGGGTAGATAATGATCTCTTGTCTCTGGGTACCCTTTCAAGTTTTGGAAGGAATGTTGATGCTCGAGTAAACTCAGGGGGTAGGGGTCCTATATGTCTTGGATGCCAGGAATCATTATCTAGGAGGTGCAAGTGGTGAAGGTGGGGTGGGTATGTGGTGACGTGGACCTCTAGGGTGGGGTATTGATTTTTGGAATGATTTGGACCCCACCGGGTTCAGCCTTCCGGGGGCATGGGTCGGAACAAAAGGGTTGTCAACTGATCAAAAACGGTGGGTAGAAAATAGAGAAAAAGGGGGTACATTACCGGCAAGGGTGCTCAAAATGATGTGGTGGGTAGGGTAGCAGTGATGGGTGAGGCTGGGGTTCATTCTGGTATGGCAGACCGGTGGGGTGGAACAGTTTGTTCTTGTCCAATGGGGTAGATGAGGATTGTAGGGTGGGTAGGTGAAGGTAGCGAAAGGATAAAACTTGCCCTAGCAAGGTTCAAAGCGGGGCCGAAATAACATGACGAGGGTGGGGTAGATGAGACCAATGGCATTGGGTAGATGCCTCACCACCGGTGCCGAACAATCAACTTCTCTCGTTGGGTGGGGTAGGCTTATCAGACGTGGTGGGCATTTCGGGAAGTACAGCTTGAAATAGAAATACTCAATTGGTGTATCGAGAGGAAAACGCGATGGTAGCACCTTGCGACGAAGAAGTCGATGTAGCTGCAGAACACTTTTCCGAAAAATATCAAGTGGGGTGATTCACTACCAGGGGTAGGTAATCGACGTAGGAAGGTAATGGAAGTAGGGTAGTTTCTAGTTTGAGGGGTACTGGGGCCTGTAAGTTTGAAAGGACTTATTTCAAAAAATGGGAATGTACCGGTTATTTGCAGTCAATTTACATCCATTGTGGGTAGGGTAGGTGTAAGGCCCCGTCTTTTATATGACGACAGCAGGCTCAGACAGGGGGTACATGCATCTGAATGCAGAGGTACGGGTGGAGGGCAGGGGATGGGATATTGATGGTCTGGAACTGTAGTTATGACTAAGGGTAGGGTGGACTTGAGTAGGGGTAGGGTGCGTGAGGTTCATATTAGGGATTCTAGGTCCATGGGGTAGGGTGGTAGGGGTACTTGAAATGAACCTTCCCCTCCACTTGAAATAGGACTCTCTGCTTGACCACCATGGACCCTGTTCTAGAACAGAGAGCGAGTGCTGTTCGTGATGGAAAAAGGTAGGGTACTCAAGGTTTAAAGAAGGGGTACTAAAATTTTGGAATGAATAGGGTAGGTAGTGATTTTGGCCCCTTAGCTACTGTTTGTGCGTGGACCCAAACATGGTATGTCCAACCCTACCAAATGCGTAGTAAAAAAGCTTGAATAGACCGGTAGCAAATGATAGAATGAGGGGTTCAGAGACCACAACCCTCCCGGGCTCCCTTGAGACATCGCAAGCTTTCTGTGACCCTCCTATAGATTTGTACCGGTGGTACCGGGTACCCCTATTTCTACTGAACAAAACAAGTAAACGAGGGGGTACAAGATAAACTCAATCAACATGTACCCCATACCGACGCTTCATTCCTAAAGACAAAGCTGCCGGTCTACGTACCACTCACCTGTTGCCTTTGATCGGTGAAATGGGGTGGGTGCTCCGACCCACCCCAGTTGTGATGCGAACAACGAGGGGTCCATGGCGACAAACGAAAGGTCATGCGACAGGTACAAATTGAAGGCGACACTCAGTTCGGCGAACTCATCAGGCTGAGGCCGGGCCGGGCCGCAAGAGAGGGCCGGGCCCAGCCGCGCGGCGCGGCGAGTCCTGGCACGGCCACCCCGGCCCACCGTCCACAGCGGCAAGCTTGGCGGCAACTTCGCGGTCCGGCATCCCGGAGCCTGTCCCGGCGGTGACCCGGCCCGGTCCGCCGCGGGCCGGGCGGGCGGGCCGCCGCGAGGCTCAATGAGTCAGGCGGGTCGCCGCGCCGGCCCGGGGCCCTGTTGAGTGACTGTGCCGGGCAGCGGCCGCGGGCGGCGGGCCCTCGGCCGCGTGACTCCGAACTTCGGAACTTAGCTGCCGAGTCCTGGCGCCGATCGGATTGACGCCGCCGGGTCCGGCGGCGTCAGGCCGGCAGTGCCCGGGGGGCCGGTCACCGCCTACCGTGAGTCAAGGGCCTGAGCCTTGCCGGCCCGGCCCGTACCGTACCGTAGTACCGTGGGCCGAGGCACGGTACGGCGTGACTCAGTGACGGCGGCACTGAACGGTCACGGGCCGCGGGCTCCTCGGCCGCCCGACGGGCGGCCGACCGACCGGTGACCTCGGACGGCCGACCGACCGGTGACCCGCCGGTCACGGCCGGGTCTGGCCGGTGACGGTGATCAGTGCGGCCGCTGAGTCCGACCGTCCAAGAAAGTTCCGATGATCTGGGCCGGCGGTGATGAGCTTAACTTGTTGAATCGGGCACGGTTCCATGAGATGGTGCCACCGATCATACGACCTGCCAACTGGAACGCATCTCTGAACCTTGCTATGATGTGAATGCGTTCCATGATGAATCATGATTTGAATGTAGATTGAAGAGAGACTGCAGAGGATCGGAGGATCGTGAAAGCAAGATGCCAACAATAGCAACGCACATTGCATCAGAACGGTTTTATTTCATGTTTTGTGTATATTCATCTAATCTATAGCGAGCCCACAGCGAGTGGGAAATAATATATCACGGAATCACTTAAAGGTAATGAGAAAGAATAGTATAGCAGGTGTTCTCAGTTCAGCAATCTTGCAACCGAGTTGTCAGAAACCTGAGATTCAGTGGATGAATGTCTTCCTTTGTGCAGAAGCGCCAGCGTCTCTGCAACAAGCTCGGCATCCTTGCACAAAACAGTCCCTTCCTCTTTCTTAGACGAACTCTTTGCTTGTGGTGAAGATGGAGAAGAAGACACTGAAGAAATAGAGAACCCTTTCTGTGCGTTCTTGGAGCTTTGAACAGTTCTATAGGGCCATTTCTTGATTCCAAGCTTTCTGCATGCCGACTTCATCGCTGTAGCTGAGATCCCAAGCTTCACGGCTGCCTCATGCAATGGAAGCGTGAACAGCTCCTGCAAAGTCTTCTCGTTGAGCACCACAGGCTTGCTGTTGACTCTAGTGTGCTGGCCAGCCTTGCGGCGTGGAAAAATGGTGTTGATACCTTGCGATGACGAGGATCCCTCGGTCACGTTGGTTGGAGAAGGAGGAGAAGTGGATGGCCAAGAAGGTGACGGTGTCCTATGCGGTGTTTGTACTGGAGATGCTGCCATGTTCGGGATAGACGAAACCATAGATCCGTTGGTAGAGAACTGCGAGGCAGCAAAGGCAGAAGATTGAGGATATCCCTGAGAGGTCTGTGTGGGAGCGCATTGAGCCATCGAAGTCTGATTCAGATTGTTTGAAAGAGCAAGCCGAAGGAGACTATCGAAAGGAAGAGGATGTACTCCGAGCGAGAACGAGTTCTGTGTATTTGTCAAAGAGGGTAATCCATAACAAGAAGAGTATCCTCGTTGGTCAATCATCTGCTGTTGCTGTAGAAGCCCAGACTGAAGGTTTGCAAGTGTTGCCATTGTCTTGATTGGAGAGCAGGTAACAGGAGTGTGTTGGATAGGGGAGAGTGTGTGCTTTGACAGGAGAACCTGATTCGCAGAGGAACGAGGCCAGGGTGCAGCGATCGTAGGGATGCAAGGGGAGGAGACGCTTATGAAGACACGAGGACCGTTAAAAGTATTGTAAATCTGGGGTTAAATTATTTGTTAAATGAAACGATTCGAGCGCGAAGCGACTGGTTTTGGACAGATCTACCCCACGGTCCAATGACTGATGTAGCTGGTTTGAAGCACCGGTGGGCCTTGTCAGTAATTATTGTGTATAATTTTAATAGAGTAAATGGGGGGCTGGAGGATACCGAAAGGATATCTCTTCGATGATCTAGAACAACATTCTTCGTCGTTTGGACGTAAGTCTGGTACACCCGGTGAGATTTTTAAAACTCTTCTAAACCACCTGTGGTTTTCTATGGGAACAACGGTGGGTAGCAGTATTTCCAACCCTCCTCCGCTGTTAAACATTTTCAAATTTATATTCGTCATTTCTCCATTTCTGTACATCGTTTTGAAATCCTTCTCTGATTCCACTCAAGTTTGCTTTTGCGGTGCATCTGTTTTATGTTGGTACGTTCTATAAATCCATTATATAGAACCCCAGTACAACAAAAAAAACAAGAGACATTTTTCGCCCCCAAAGACCACATCAGAGGTCCTGCTATGGTGTACCCCTACCACCCTTAAACGCACCATAGCTCACTCGATGGACCACCAACTACGGTCCAACAAATCCTCGATAACCCCTCAATAGATTTACAACCACATGTTCTTCGTGAGGGAATTCACTCACTTCCATCAACGTATGGGGTCGGGGGCTCCTTTCAACACCACCCCTACCCATCGATATCTCCTGGATGCCAAAGGAGACCTTCTAAAAGCAATTTTTGTGGCTCAGCACTATACAAACATATTGTTGGAAAAAAAGACATTCAATGTCTAGTTTACAGGTATGTAGGGGTATCCTCTGTATCAATAAGCTGTACATGGGGTACCTAAAATTGGGGGGTTCATCAAGTATATTGGGGTCTGAACATGCAAGGGGCAGCACTATTCCATACAGGTATAATAAAATAACTATGATATCCATTCCCTGGTGATGCAAAAGTTCTAATAAACCATCCTGTGCAATTACCCAGGGGTGGGGTTAAAAACATGGGGTAGGGGGTAATGAGATCTCAAACCATGTTTGGAAGGCCCGGGGGGGCGAGAATGCGACTGCTCCCGCATGGAGAGAATCTCGGTCACCCGTACTTTTCCACTGATTGATAGGAATTGAGGGGGTAGGGTAGGGATGAGTCTGGTGCAAGCGAGGCCGATAGAAAGATGTCAGCTGACGGGTATCAGGTTTGGCATCTCTTTTCGAGGAGACGGAGGGGTGGTGTAAGGATTCCTACCCTACCCTACCCTACCCTACCATACAGTACACAACTGCTCCACCACCCTCGCTTTCGCGCTTTGGATGTCTTGTTTCCCAACAAATAAAACTACCCATCGTGAGACTAGTGATCTTCCATGGTGGGGTGTTCTCAAAAGGGCCGTGGATACCATCAGTGAGGGGTAGGGAGGGGGGCCCTTTAAAAAGGGAGTTATTGTATCCCTTGAGAGTTGCCGTGAGTCACGACTGTTCAGACCTCTCTCATCTTATCTTGCTAGGTCCTTATGGGGTAGGTACTCACCCCTACCCTCTATTGCCCTCTTGGTGTGCTCTATCAGACGCCTGTCCTTGAGACCAGCCCTGTAACACAGCATGATACCTAAAACTCCTGTCTCCTTTGACCACCCCACCCATCCATCCAATGCAACAACCCTTTCACAAGTGTGCATTGGGTCGAAAAGGAGGTTTTTCGATGATAGTTCGGGGGCGACTTGGTAGTAAACGAGATTTTTGGGCTTATGTGTCTCCCCCCCTTGGCGACGAGTCCCGTATCTGAAAGATCAACGTTTCGCATCACAAATTCTCGGTAATCTGCGAAAATACTCTGTTTCAGAACATCCCCCCGAAGTTTTCGGTGGATGCTTCAGAGTGGGTCGCTTCTCAGTTCAGAAAGACCTGATTTCGAGACCGGGCTACGAAAATCCCAGTTGGAGGCCGCATCTTTTCGAAACGCTGGATTTTTGCTGCTTTTGCGACCCATTATGCGGCTCGTGCCATCAAAATTGATTTATTGCAGAACCCCCCAAAAGCCCCCAGCTCGTACCCTGTTTCACGGGCTACACCCCTTTGTTGCGATTTTCGGATGTGAATGATGATGTCCGATTTCCGAGTCCGCCTCTGCTGCTCAGTGAACTTACCGTAGTACCCTAGTACCGTACTACGGGCCGCGGCCCGGCCGCCGGGCCTTCCGGGTGAACCGCCGCGCCCGCCGAACTCAGTTCGGAACTTCCGAACGGCAGCAGTGAGGCTTTCGACTTCCGAAGAGGCTAGTAGGCCGTAGGTGACGAACGTTGAAGTCTTGCACGTTGATCTGACTCGGAATGGCGAGCCTGACTGCCGCCTTTGATCATCCGATAGGATCTCAGACGGTCGGATCGGACGGGCCGGACTCGATTCAACTTACTAGGGCGCTCACTGTAACTTAAGGCAGAGCCACGGCACGGTCCCTGCCAGTGCAGGGGCCGAACTTCGGAAGTACGGTCTCCGCCGCGCCGCTCGGACTCGGAGCGGTGGCACTCAGTACAGCACCTTCCGACTCTTTCCGACCTCCGACCATCCGATCGGACCGTGACGGTCACTGGCCATTGTACCGTACCGTCTGCCGGACTCCTCACCTTGGAGCCGATTGAACAGATTTCAAGTTTCAACTATCCGCGGCTTGAACTGGGAATCATCGGTCATCACCAGTCAGTGGCCCGGCCCCGGCCGCGGGTGCCGTCCGCAGATGCCATCCCCCGGACGTTATGGGCTAGCCGGTCACTCGCCGCCGGACTCCGGCGTAACGTGCTACGGTCGGAGAGTCGGACGCCGTGGCCGGGCCCGGCTGATCATACTACTGTCGTAACTTTGAGTAAAGTCGCCTGACTGTCGGACGGTTCCGAAGTGATTGCTGACTGAATTGTCCTCGTACTAATCTTTAACTTAACTTTGAGTAAAGGAACTTCCGAAGGCGAATCAGGCTGTAGCAACGACGTGAGGCTCGGGAGTTTTGTTTTGTTCTGATCTCTTGCAACATAACACTACAACACGCCTGAAAGCTCGGACTTCGATCCGGTGACTGGCATTTGTTCACGGCTGCCTCTTCACTTCCCTCTCGACCCCTTGGGGTTGAATTTTTTCAGTGTCGACTTAGTCTGATGAAACTATATTCAGGACAAGGCAGACTTTCCGGTACGGTCAAGGTCACCTTGTTTTTCTTGGCTTTGCCCTCGTCATCTGAATCTTCCTTCTGGCATCAGGGTGAGAAGTTGATTGTATCTTGTTCACTCCCAAACCTTGCTCTTGGATGTGGATGAGAAGATGAAAGTTTTTGCACCGTTGCGTATGATGTCAGGGTCCTCCGATGGCATCGATGGACCGAATCCCTAACCAGCAATCATTGACGGCAACAGCAGCCACAGCACAGACCGCGGTTCTGCGATGTGAATAACCAGGAAATGCCGCATGATCGAAGTCGACAGCGGTCTTGAGTTGCAAACTTGGAAGATAGTGAGAAGATTACAAGAGCAACGAGGGGAGCAACCCAGAAATTGCGATTCCTATCCTCGCAACCTTCCAACTGTCGTAGGGTTCACCTTTTTTGATGGTGACGAAGACTTTGCCTTGATATGATGTGAGCGAATGGAAGACAACTCTGCGTCATTGCAATCAAACCTGTTGGTGAGAGAATCTTGCTCGAGCTATCAAGGAACTTGCGGATAAGATCTTGATTGGCAGCGATGTTGTCATCCTGCACAACACTCACTATCTTTGTCGTCTGTCACGACTGCACCTGCTCCTTGATCCCAAGGCCGACGTGAGGGAAGTTGAAGATGATAGAGTCATAGGGACCATCCAGCTCAGGAAGCTCGGCTACTCTGAGAGGAGGGGTAAGAGGAGAGGTCTGGCGCAAACACCACAAGATGCCTTGTTGCGTCGATCTGGAACAGCACGCTGGCCCCCCCCTCTCTCAGCTTGTCCACGTGCCCTTGAGCATCGTCGTACTTGTTCTGCAGTACCTCTAGCGAGTCATAGCCTGCCGAGCTCTCCATAAGTACTCCTCACACTCCATCATCAGCTCCCTCCCCATCATACATGTTGACGTGACCGACGATCCGCCTTGCAACAGCTCAAGGAGGGCGACGCTGAAGCTAAAGTTCCCATCGCCGACCACGAGCACCTGCTCGTCAGGGCCATCTAGATCATGATAACGAGTGGAGGACGGCAGCATTCACCTTCCCTGCCTGCTTTCGGATCTGAGTTGACGCGGCCTGCAAGGGAGGATTCGGTTGCTGGCTCTTCGCGGAGGGCTTCTGTGAGTTCTGCGGACCGTTCTTGAGGATCACATTCTTGGACCATGCAGCATTGTGCCCCGACTTCAGTCCTTGCACCAGCATCTCTTGTGCTTTCTGAGTGTTGACATCAGACACGCACATCACAATCCAGGTAGATCAACCCTATCACCTTTGGGAGTTTGCCCAGAGCCTTCTTCGCTCCTTTGCTCAGCATCTTCATCCCCTTGCCGCCCTTCTTCCCCCTTTTTGCCATGACCTGATGAAAGTCAAACATCAACAACTCCAAACATCAACAAGTATTCATGTACGAAAGCATCTTTTAATTCTAGTTTCGCATCAACAAAACCTGTTCATCCAAACTTCTCTGCAGCATCTATCCTTCTCGGCATGCCCCTGCTTACTCTGCTACACGGCTCCTTATCAGATCCTTCTCTTCTCTCTTCATCCGAGTCGCGTCCTCACTCTCTTCTTCCTCCCGCTTCCTCCCGCTTCCCTGCAGACTCCGATTCCCTGCTGCATGTGCGAGTACCCCCACCCTTCCACTCCATGCTAAGATCCTTTTTACCCATACTTTTCACTGCATAAGTACCGGTACACAGTGCTACCCACCAGGGGGAGGTTGAGAATGGAGTCGGTGCCCGGCCCGGGCCGCCGGGCCGGGCCGGCTAAAGCTGTTGGTAGACTGCCGGTAGTTCAGTTGCCAGGAACTTCCGAAGGGTCCTCGATGCCGAGCCTGCTTGCCACATGACAGTTGAAAGCTTGCCTGATCACTGAGCTTGGAGAGGTACAAGGTTGATGGCTGCTGGGGGAGCCTACAAGGCAACCAACGCCGCGGCGACAGAGAGCGACTCGGATAGATCGGACGCGGCTGAACGTGGGAGCCTCGGAAGCTGGGCCTTGCGTTCACGGTTGTTCTATCAGGATCTCATCTCATCACATGCCTGTTTGAAGGGAGGTGAGATTGGACTAGATCGCATCGGCCTCATGGCTAGCGGGAGCTCTGAGTGAGCGGCACAGGCTGGCCAGCATGATGTGACCGTGGCTCCGATCAAGTAGAGGGTCGATCGTCACCCCGAGTGAGCTTAGCAGCGCACGTTTCAAAAGATCTTCCGTCACTTATCACGATCCTACTTAGCAGCTACATCACTCAGACATGCTGCACAGCAAGGTCACGAGGTGGGAACGAAGGGATTCACCATCCAGACCGTAACGTTTCTCCCCTCCCTCCTCGGCTCCTCGCAGACAGGGTCGAGGTACGTCAGAGCAGGGTACAGGTACTCCTCCTCCTTGGGGTAGACCGACAGGAACTGCAGGGAGCTGCCCATCTGGATTGGTTTGACTTGGATTTCAAACAGCAGCGGGGTCTCGCTAGCCGCGTACTTGTCCGCTATCGCCTTGCATGCTGTGGTCGACATGCATGCGAACTCCGTCCCTCCTCTCAGCCCAAACTCCCTTGGGACCACTTTGTCCTTCACCCCGCGCCATAGAGTATACCGCCTGCCAGGCTCTAAGTTGTCCAGGTTGACGATGCGGAGTTTGCAGATTCCTTCAGTGAGGTACATGACCGTCATGGCGAGTGGGTGGCGCTTGATCGGCGCACGAAGGTACTTGTTGATGAGCCTGAACGTGTCGGAGGTGTACAACCGGAGAGCGAGCACGTTCTCCTTGGACAACTTCGCCCGCACGCTGTGAGGGTGGTGCAAGAAGTCCTCCAGCGTCATCCCCCTGTGCAAGTAGTCGTAGTCCTCCTCCTCGATCGCTCCTCCGTGGTACTGCCTCGAAGCCAACTGCGCCTTGACATGCGGGGGGATCCACTTCTCGTCCCCCGCAGTCCCGGCCAGTATGTACCGCAAGTTGTCAATGTCGCTCTGCTCTCCATGCTCCTCGATCTCCCTCACTATCCCTGCCACCCCGTCCACCAGCAGTTCCCCATACTCCGACTGGCTCAGCCCCAGGAAGTGCCTCACCCCCAACGTCGACTCCTGAACGGCGCCGAGCTTTAGTTCGGCGGCCACGTACTTGCCAGCCTCTGCCCCTCCCGGCGCCATGCCGACATCCTCGGCCATGGCAGGCGGACTTTGCCGCAGGGGGATTTGGACGATGACCGAACCCCCAGGAGGGACTTTAATCCACTGCTCCAAGGCATTCCCCCAGGGAGCGTGCACGCTAGCCCACGCCTCGAAGCCCCTGGGGTAGCCGCCTTCAAAGAGGAGGAGCACTGAGCTGCTCTCCTCGTGCAACAGGATCTGAACGTCGTCCACCATCCCAAGCCCTCCCTCTGCCTTGCGATGCACTACACACTGATGCTTGCTCTCGATCGTCTGTTGAGCCACCGAGTCCCTCAGCCTATTGGACGAGCAGCAGTGGACGACATAGTCCGTCCACGCCACCACCACATGTTTCACGAAGACGTTGGTGACATCATCGGACTCATGGTTCCTCTGGTTCTTTTCCCCTACCCTGTACACCCGAGCAGACAGGCCCTCCCTCTCCAGCTCTTCAGCGCTCACGATCTCTGCATCCTCCGTCCCAGCAGCCAGGAAGCTCAGCCTCACTCGCTCCTGATGCCTCAGGGGGACTTGAACGAAGGTCGATCCTCCAGGTCGGATCCGTTCCATCAGCCTGGACCACGGAGCACGAACGTCCGCGCCTCCTTCACTTCCGTTGGGGTAGCCTCCTTCCAGCAGCACGAAGACACAATGACGCCGTTGATCCACATGGAACTGAACATGCTGTACAGCCTTTGGGTCCAGCTTCCCTCCTTTCCTGTAGAAGATAGCCCGATGTTTCCCCTCCACGAAGAAGCTGCGGTGGACGTCTTCGATGCGGTCGGAGGAGGAGAAGAGGACAAGGAAGTTCGTCCAACTCCGGATGATGTGGAGCAACTGGTCCTTCTCGTTTGGCCATGGCGACTCTGCAACTGCAACGTCCTCTCGCTTGATCGCCATGACAGGCGGCTGGCGCATTTCAGGGTTGCGGTCTACCCTCACGTTGGGTTCAGTCACGTGTAAGATCGGGCTACCATCCTCCGGCAAATCGCTCTTCACCGTCGGATGAAACCTCTTGTCTGCTCCCTTTCTATCTGCTCCCTCGGCGACTGCTGTCCTCTCCGATGCCCCACGAGCTCCTGGCTTACCTGCTTCCCCCGTGAGTGCCTTCGAGTCCTGAGAGCCTGCCAAGGTCTTTGAGATGGTTCTTGTACTCGAGTTCGTGATCACCTGCAATGGATTTGATTTCCTCGTTGACAGTTGCTGACTGTCCACATTCCATGGATCCTCTAGAAACTGCGAACAAGTCTCCGTCAGTACACTATGCATGTTATGTGCCATCAAATCCATCGCTTATCAGGTAATCTCACACATGCGCATAAATGTAATCCCAGGAGGGAGTAGAAACAGGTAGTTGATGAAAGTAAGTTACAGTTACAAAGTACCGCATGGGAGGGATTGGGGGAACGGGAGGGAGGAAGAGGGAGGAGGGAGGAGGGAGTAGAGGGGAGACGGGGAGGAAGGGAGCAGTTATCAAGGGTGGACTAAGAGACGAGGCAACGATCGAGGTGAGAGGGGAGATGGGAGCAGGAGAGGAAGGTGTAGAAGGAGTTGCAGGAGGTAGGGGGTGCAGCTTGTACGGAGGGCGAGCAACAAGGGAAAATGAGGATTTCCCGGCCGTCCGCCGGACGGTGGCACCCGCGGGTCCCCGGCCGGGCCGCGCGGCGGGGGCCCGGTCTCCGAGTCTGGGCCGCGCGGCTCTCAGCGTGACGCGGCCGGGCCAGAGCCGCTCAGTCATCCGGCGTCCCGGCCCTGAGTTCGCCAGCCGGAGCCGGGGCCCGGGGTGGGGGGGTGGCGGCCGGGCCGGGCTGGATTCCGAGCACGGCACCGTGCCGAGTCACTGCTGAGGTCAGTTGAAAGAAGCCTTCAAGTTCAGTCAGTGCTGAGTGATCGAAAACCGGAAATAGACCGTACTGGACTCTTTGAAAATTCCTAGCTCAAATGACTCGACCGTCGAGTTGGTTGTTTACCGGAGGCTCTACTTTGTTGTCATAGAGTTTTCAAATTTAAGAGGGAGATTTTCGCTCTTTAGTCCCAGGTTTGAACTTCGACAACTTTTGACCGTCGGACGGGCGGGCAGTATCTGTACCGAAGAACCCCTGCGTGAAAATGGCCATGCAGGCAGGAATCATGATGGCTTCACCATATGGGAGTGAACAGGGCCCGGGTGTAGGCTGGGAACGAGGAGGTTCAGGAGGAGGAGGAGGAGGAGGAGGAGGACTTTATCCTCAGACGACTCCATCGAATTTGTACCCTGTTACCACTGAGAACCAGTTGCATCCTACCACTTACGCAGAATTGGTGACGACATACACACCAATTCCTGTTGCTCAACCCTACGATGGCCGCTCGCAGGCAGCCAAGGACAAGGTCGTCGGTGATTCTCAAGAAACAGCATCGCCCATCGATTTTTGTACATTCATGGGCAGATTTTATGATCCTCTCAACCTTTACAACAAGTTTCGAGAGCATTTTGAGATCAGTGATGAGTACTCTCCTTTTTTCGCTCAGCCCAGCGACTGCGATGCATACTCGAGGAGGGAGAGGGTATTGGTTTTTATCAACACGATACTGGCAATCTTAGCATCTTCATCTTTTGTCATGATGATGACCGATGAAAATGACTTCGTGAGGGCATCAGCCGGCGCGGTTATCAGTCCACTGATACAGCGCCTTATGTTGAACGGGTTGTTGAAGAAGATTTTCAAGGCTAAGGCAGACGAAGGTGGAGGGTGTGAAAGGTTCTTCAAAAGATTTGTCAATGTTCTGGCATTCTTCCTTTGCTGCATATCATGCTTTCTTGGAGTCCTCTTCATCATGATCGCCTTCGAGTGCAAATTTTACACTTTTGCAAACCCCAACGCTATTGCCATGGCTTTGGCAGAAGCAAAACTGAACAATACGGCCTTAAAGAATGTCTCCAACACGTTTGCTGCCAACCAGACTGCACTGGAGGGCGCTACTGTACACAACAGCACAATGGTGAATGGAACGAAATCAACGTTCAACCAAATGAAGATGGTGTTTACATGTGAAACTAAAAGCCAACAAGCTGCTGAGAGCTTCTGTTCTCAGCTGGGTGGACGCCTGCCATTGTTTGAAATTGATTCCGAACTCAAGATGGCAACTGAGATCATCAGGGAGCATTTTGACGCCAACTTTGTCACGACCGGAAAACATATTTGGACAGGCCGAGTCGATGACTGGCAGAAATGTGTCAGTCTTCACTGGGGTGATAAGAATGCAGCACCTTCGTTGGATGATTATCAAGCTTGCTCCGATGCGCACCAATTCATCTGTCTCGTCAACGAAATTCCTCTCAACCTCAAAGCAGATTTGGCGGACTGCAACTGCGACAACAAGACGAGCACACTGGTCAACAGCTTGCTGATACAGTATGCTTCGTCATACTTCGTTGGGAACATCTTGAAATACTGCTATAATATTTTGCTAGCCCCGATCTACTTCCTGTGCTTGGGTTCATGCTGCAATTGCATTCGTAAAGTCTTGGATTGGACAGTGATGGAAGACTGGGCAAAGTCGGATAGTACAGGGAGTCCTGCTATCATGCATGCGCACAAAGACATGTACTTCACTGTCTTTGTCTGTTACGATGAGCCAGACAACTTGTGCTGCTTCAAGCCTGCTGAACTAGCAAGTCGAGCTTCTCAAAGTCTCTCTTTCCGGAGTGAACCAGCTGTTGTGACATGAGGTACGCTAACACGGAACTTCGCAAGTAATTGACACCTTTATAGTTGTTTCTCCTCCCGGGGGCCTGCCGTCGCCACACGGTGAGTCAGTGGTTCCCACTGATCCAACCCTGGCCAAGGCTTGCACCGTGACTGAGCCACGGTGTGGCAGTGCTGGCACTACAGACGGCAAATGCAGCTGCTGGAATTTCATTTGAACTTCCGAACGGCGTCACGTATGATAAACCGTCGATGATCATTCGATCCGGTTCAGTTAAGAGTAAAGTTTAAATTAACGACTCCCGGAGTCCATCAAGTCGACCCCAGCACTGCGGCATACCGTGACCGTGACACTGATCAGTGCCCCGCCGCGGCCGGCGGCGGGCTGACTCGGAGGTGCCATCACCGTTCCGACGACGGTTGAACTGAACTTCCCGCAAGTTCACCGCCGGCACGGGTCGGCCCCCCCCCGGCACCGGCAGTCACCGAGTCCCTGAGTCACCCCGGGCCCCCGCCGGCCGGGCCCGGACTCACCCCGCCCGGAGTGCTGTAGTGTCACTGAGGATTGCAAGCATTGCATGTGACTCTCGGAGGACCGGTTAATATATCGTAGTCTGCAAGAAAAGAAGTGTGGTAGACATTCCATGAAGGAAAGGTCAGTGAAACAGAATATATCAATGAAATTTCAATATTATAAGAACAATTTTTAACTTAGAATGACCCCATGAAACCTGTCCGCCATCGGTGCCAGTTTGTAGGCGACAATAGCAGGAAGCTGGGGGCGAGAGAGGAGGGGAGGAGTGGGCGGGGTGTGGTGGGGCATGGCGGGAGAGGGAAGGAGACTGAGAGATGCAAGGAGCTTGCAAGGTTGGAACATGATGGATTCGGGTAGATGTTATCTCCATTCAGCCCAGATGGTGAACTGCGATTTTGGGGATGGAACAAGAGAGGAGGAAAGCAAGAAGTAGAGTCGAACATTGCAGAAAAAAAAGATGCCCAAGACATAAGTGGCTGAGGTTAAAGGAGTAGAGACAAAGGCTGGATGCTCAAACCGCGAGAGGTCATGGGGAGTGCAACACTCGTTTGCGTATGCAGTTATGCCACTTGTGGAAGAAAGTAGGGAGAGGAGGGGAGAGGAGTGGAGACAGAGTGGAAGGAAGAAAGAGAAGGAGAAGGAAGGAGAGGGAAAGGCCGAGGGAGACGGGCAAGAAGGGGAGATGTAAAGTGGTTTGAGCGGGGTGGTGGTGGCGGGACAAATGAGAGGGAGATATCTTCAAAGCTTCAAGGCTGTAACCTGCCTCACATTGCTTGTTCTAGGCGTACAAATGTGTCTTGTCGCACCCGATCGCATGACAGAATTGTAACAGTTACCTACGATCTTGGTTGCGCTCGTCTTTGATTCACTTCGGCACATTTTGTCCATAATTTAATCGAGCAAACGAAAGATGAGTTCAGTCTTTACAAGGCTTTGCGTTCTGTTCAGCCTTGTCTGCCTAGCAAGAGCTGAGTTTGTGTTCGAGCCCGGAGATTCTTTTGCTGGCCAGTTCGAGTTTGGAGGAAGAGATACGAGGAACTTGTATGAACTTCGCGTGCACAGTCCCGTTGACGGATCGTTGAAATGGATGTCGGATGCAATTGGAGCAAACTCAGGATGGTTCACTCAATGTCATCAGGTAGATTTTGGAGAATGCAAAGAGGGGAGAGGGGTGATGATATATGGGAGGGAGGGAGGGAGGGAGGGGGTAGGGAGGGAGGGAGGGAGGGAGATAGGGGGTAGGGAGGGAGGGAGGGAGAGGAGGAGGGAGTAAGGAGCAAACAAACACAGCAAAAAAAGATTGATAAAAGATTTTCACTCCTCTCATCATGTCTCAATTTCAAGAGATAAGGTTGTGATGACGTTCATTTGACTTGTTGTCTCGGACAGCAAACCTCAATATCGTGCGCCGGCGGTCCGATTGACAGACCGATCTTTGGTGCTCTTAACGTTTCTGGTTTGAGCATCTGGATTGTTGAGATTTCAGTGACGTTGGTTACCAGGGATAGGCCAATGCACGCAGAATTCAGCATGCACGTATGATACAACTCTGCGTGTATTTGTTGGATGCTGAGGATATGGTGTTGCGGCATCGTCCACTCTACGCCAGAGCTTGCTCTCCAAACCGATCACTGCGCTAATAATCCTATTTGTCTGCATTAGTGTTTCGTTCAATGATGTCACGTTGTTTCTTCCTTCAACTTGATCTTTGTTCTTGGACGTCATGTAAATGTCTTGCTCCTGATGTTGTCTTCTCTACAGGGGCCCACCGGATCGCCAGCCATCCACAGGATGCGTGCAGTACGGCTGCTGGACGATCGAGTGCGGTTGCAATACGGCAAGTGAAGGAGGGGAGGGGGCGAGGAAGGGACGGGACAAGGCAGGACAGGAGAAACACATCAGAACAGAACAAGGAAGGAGATGAGCTACAGGGGGGCTCAAGGAGGGGAGCAAGGAGGGAATAGACAAGAGGTTGGGTTAGGGGAGGAGGGGACAGAAAAGGGAGAGGTGATAGAAGAGGAAGGGAAAGAAGACAGGGAAGATTCAAGGAGGAGAGAGCGTAGCGGAGGGTAGCATGTGACATGGCGGGGCCAGGTTTCAAGACGAGGATGCTGGGGAGCGGATTTGCGAGGCTCAATTGTGCTCATCCAACGAGGATCAGGGGTCGGGGAGCCTTCGATCTACTCTTGCTCCTTCGATCGAAAGCTGTACAATGCACAAGTGAGGAAACTGTTCTGATCACAGAGGGGGATACTGCTGCTGCTGTTGACAATGACGATGACGACAACGATGATGATGATGATGATGATGATGGAGACGATGATAATTGACGAGGAGGAGAAGATGGAGGCAACGGAGGTCAAGATGATGATCTTTGTGGTCAATGTTGCAATCAAAAAGGGTGTGCGGTGATCTTCTTGTGAAGATGGCAGGAGCAAGTGCGGCAATCATCTACAACAATCTCCCATACGGAACTGTTATAATGGCCTCAGGTGATGTCGCAACGATGCAGCCATTGTGTCTGAAACTCTGATTTTCTGCCTGATATTCTGATTTGACATTGTCGTCAAAAGGTCATTTTTCTTACTAACATGCATCTTGCTAGGAGAGGCCGAGTATGCGAACTTGACTATTCCTGCAATCTTTGTCACACAAGAAGTTGGATTAAGGTCAGCGCATGTCATGAGCTTGTCCTTATTGTTGCTCTCTTCTCATTGTTTGTCCACCTCATTTTGTGCTGCTTTTCGGATCTCGTTGTTCAATTGTCGATTCTCATCGGAATGCTCTGCTCTCCTCCTCTTCCTTCTACTCCTTCCGTCTCTGCTCCTGCTCCTGCTCCTGCTCCTGCTCCTTCTCCCTCTCCCTCTCCTGCTCTTGTTTATCTCCAAATTTCTTCTCTTTCAATTTCGACCCTTTTTGCCTCAACATGCACTCGCTTACCTGACGGTTCTCCTCAGGCTCTTCCAGCTGATTCAAGATGCCTACCCTCAGTCGCTAGAGGCGTCTTTGACCAACTTGACCGAGCACAGCATTCGCCTCACGATTGACGAAGTGACCAGGACGAATGAGATGACCAAAGTAACCCTCCCTTCTTGTCACTCCCTGTGTTGTCATGTGACGACGATGTCCATTCTTTAGTGTTCGTAGTGTTCGTTCTCCATGATGCATCTGATCGACTTGCTTTGCTCCCTCAACACATATCTTGTCTTGTGAATGTTCACGTCGTTGTCTTCTGACAGTCACGATTTGTTGTCCAGCTAGCGGGAAGTTTGGAGTTTCGTATGCAGGATGGGACAGAGGACGAGTTCGGTCACTTCAGAGTTGAAGGGTTCCAAAGTGCCAATCAGGTTGACATTCCATAGCTGTTGTCTTATGTTGAGCACCGTGAGGACATATCAAGACCTCTATCATAACATCAGCATCCTCCTCCTCTATCTGCTGCTGCTGCTGCTGCTGCTGCTGCTGCTGCTGCTGCTGCTGCTGCTGCTGCTGCTGCTGCTGCTGCTGCTGCTGCTGCTGCTGCTGCTGCTGCTGCTGCTGCTGCTGTTTCATTTCAACGTGCTCCTCCTCTGCCTTTTCTTTCTTCTCCTCTACCTGCTCCTGTACATCTTCTTCACCCCTCTCCACTACTTTCTTCATGATGATCGTCCTCCTATGCATTGTCACCAGCAACTCCTTCCTTTGTTTCCATTACACAATGTCATTAACCATCATCAATCTGTCGATCAAGCACAATACCAGAATTTTTGCTGTCCTGCCCTTCAATATCGTTGAAATTCGTTTAGTTGGCCATCGTCCCTGCTTGCTCCAGCTCCGACCAGGAATCTAGCGGTGGACTCGGTCGCGATGCGTTTTGTAACGGAAACGTCAAATGGCTTGCTATGTCAAAGCGGATGCGGGTAAGCAGAGAAATCGAGTCACCGCTCCATTTCTTTCCCACCCTCCTCTCCTTTCATGTTATCTTCCTTCCTCTTCACTTGATATCTCTCTTCTTTCCTTCCTCTTCTCCCTTCTTCCTCTCTCTTCGCTCTCTCCTCCTTCGATTCCCTTGTACTTCCCCTCCCACCTCTCATCTCCAGCTCTTTCCTCCGCATCCTAACTCCCTCTCCTCCCTCTCTGCAGGCCTTTGGAATGATTGGGGAGCTAGTGGATCCGGATCAGATTGGATCTGTCTTCGAGCACTTCAAGGGATTTCTGCAGGTCCCCACCCCTGCCCCTTTTCCCAGCTCACTCAGCTGGGTTGCAGCTAGGGCCTCTGCAGGAAGTGGACCCGACGGCGACAGTGAAGCTGAAGAGAGAGAACGACTGTTCTCCTCCTCTCACGTACGTGGCGGACTGCTCTCCGGCTGGCGATGGGACTCAGCCTCAGCGCTATAAGCAGCAGTGCTTGCTCGCATTGGATGAGAAGGTAAGCAGGAGCAGGAGCAGGAGCAGGAGCAGGAGCAGGAGCAGGAGCAGGAGCAAGAGCAGGAGCAGGAGCAGGAGCAGGAGCAGGAGCAGGAGGCAATTGAGATTGAGATTGAGATCATCACACGACCGATACGATGTTGTTTGCATGGAGTGAAGGTGATGGGACTGTCAGGGCTATCGAGTGTTCAACGACAAGTTATGGGACTTCTCTTCTCCTCTTGCTTGGAACTGCCGGTGAGCTGATAGAAAGCCAGAATACCACAGAAGAGTGATGGTTCGTTTCAGAGGAGACATCTATTGCGAGGGAGATTACTTGAGTTGGAACGATCTGAGCAATCTTGCCAGATTGGCGCAGGACGAGTCGGTCAGATTGACTTTTTCTTTCAATGGAACATTTTGTATCTGTCTGCTGCTGTTTCATATGAGCGATGTTTCTGTGAGGATGCGACTGGAAAACCTTTTGTGACATGAGCCCTTGTACCTGAACCCGAACCTCCTTCTCATTCCTTTCACTTTGATTCCCATGAGGTGATCGTCATAGTCTGCTGTTAGATCCGATTCTACTGGGACTTGAATGGATGTCCGCTTTCACCTGAAATCCCTGGAACATTGACGATTCGATCGTTTTCACATTCATGTTCACAGGTGGACGCAAGTCCGAAAACTCCCGACAGATGTCTTGAGGGATCGACCAACAACTTCTTCTTCGTAGGCAGGAGCATGCTGATATGCTGATGCCAAATAACATGAATATCAGGGGAGAATGATTGGGTTCCGGGGAATAGCCTGCACATGTGTGGATATGGAGATCGCAACAATCAGGATTCTTTCTGCTCTAGGTGAGGGAGCTTCGGACTTGATTTGAGCTGACAGCAGCTGTTTGTTGGCGATGATTGTTTTTGACTGTGACATGAGATGAGATGAGATAAGATGAGAAGAGATGAGATGAGATGAGATGAGATGAGATGAGATCGGATTAGATATTACATGATGTGGTGTAATGCTGTTTATCATTTTAGCGTTCT